AATTGTTGAATTTAAAAAACAAGTATGTGGGGATACCAATAAAGGATTTGTTGTCATTAATCAAAAGGGAATTGATCTCTTGTCATTGGATCTTCTCTGTAAAAATGGGATTCTTGCATTGAGACATGCCAAGAGAAGAAATATGGAAAGGTGATTTATTATATCATGTATTTCCTTTATTTATTTTATTTTTTTTTTTGATGCAAAATTATTTTTTTTAGATTACAACTTATTTGTAGAGGGTCATACAAAATTCTGTGGATGATTTGTCTTGCAGAAGTTATCGGATACGCAGGATTTATTTATGAGCACACTCTTGAAGAAGAAAAATATACCTTTGTTGAAGAGGTTAAAAATCCAAAATCTTTTACGACATTGGTTAAAGGATCTAATTCTCACACAATTGCACAGATTAATGATGCCATCCGTGATGGATTACGAGTCGTAAAGAATGCAATTGAAGATAAATGTATAGTATCAGGAGCAGGAGCATTTCAAGTTGGGTTTTCAGTTCATTCGAATAAATTTAAAAGTTCAATTAAAAGGAGGGTCAAGATGGGAGTTCAAGCATTTGCAAATGCAAATGTTGATAATTCCTAAAGTTTTATTATAAAATGGAGGATTCAATGCTTAAAATACTATTGTTGCTTTACAGGTGAGTTTAATTATCATTATTCAAAGAACGTTTTAATTTAGAATTTTGTGCACGCAAAATGATCAAAACATATTATTGTATTATACTATTACGTAAACGAATATTTGATCAATGAGACTTTTTTTAATAGGAGGAATTTGCAGCAGAAGAGTTGATTTAAATACGGGAAACACACTTGACCCTATCGTGGAGGGTATTTGGAATAATTATCATGTCGTTTGTCATATGTTGCATTCTTGATAAGATTATTAATGTTATTGCATTCTATTCATAAATAAACTTTTAAAAAGCTTAACCTTTTACAAAATATTTGTTTTTTTTCCATTTAATGTTCGTTACTGCTATTCAAGTTTCTTCTATCCTCAGTGTATACTTTATCGTTAGCACTGCAACAGTAAAATAAATAGCATTTCGTTTACCAGGTGGCATGCGACTTTATGATGACTCAAATATTATGAATTTCATCATCACTACCACCGCCTTTACCACCACCAAAAAAGGATTCCTCTATGCTCGGGTCTCTAGTGTCAAGTAAAAAGAGGACCTTGAGTGGCAAAAGTAACTCCTCAGCTCCTGGTTCTCAATCTATGAACTCATCAGTGATATCAGATTAAGAATTAACTTCAAATACAAAGAACTGTAAACCCTATTGAAACAATCATGCGAAGGTCTTATCAGAGAGATTGTTGCTATCCACCATGATCGATTATGCAGATTCACCTACAAATTTCTCAAGCACGAATTCTCATTCAATTTTATACAACTCGTGGTTCTCTTCAACGATTTAACAATTGACAGACATGAGCTGTCTAAAGATATTCTTGCCATCAACGTCTTCATCTGCAGATTGCAAGAAAGGATAGCAGCCAAACAGAAGGAAAGAAAAGAAAAGAAAGAAAATATTAACAGTGAGAAAAAATAAAAGAAGAAAAAAGGATGAAAATGTAAATAGAATATTGAAAGTGAAATTGTATCAAAACCTTATACAAAAACATATAATGAAGCAATAGATGGGGCTGTAAAGATTGACCTATAATACAATCATTGACTATCTGCAGAAAAGACAGTTTTTGATTATGCGTGTAGATAAAAATAGGAATAAATGTAAAAAGATGATAAACTTTTCAAATATAAAATTTCTGAAAAGGATTGTGTATTTAAAATTAAGGAGTAAGAAAGCCTATGATGATATGTCAAATAACTTAATTGACGAAATTATGGATGAAGCTGTTAAAAATTTCAATTCAAAAGATAACAAAACCAGATTAAAGTTCAAGATCAGGAAAGACCTAAAGCATACTATCATCATATGCACACAAAATTTCTCAAAAAAATATTGGAATAAATTTTTACATATCATACCTATTCAAAAATACTGATTATATGAGAACACTAAGGAAGAAACCATATAATTACCTAGAAGGATCAAGAAATTTAGGAGCTTTGCATTTTGAGACCAAGAGAAAAAATAACAGTTGGCCATCAGAACAGATCAATCATGATTGCAAGCTCACATACTTTAAAAAAACTAATGAATGGATCTTATCGTGAGTATATGAAAGACAAAAAAAATCAAAAGAAACACACAAGAGGTTTGTGGTTATCGATCCAGGAGTTCGAACTCCATTTGTAATGTATTTACCTACAAAAGGAATTACAGTGGTTGGTAAGAATGATTCGCAGAGGTTGGTGAGACTTTGCTTGCATGCAGACAAACTAAAAAGAAGGCTGAGAGAATTGATAAAGCAATCTCAAGAATTTTTAGAAGGATCCGGAACCTGAGGAACGAATTACACAAGAAAACTGTGAATTATCTTGCAAAAAATTATGATGTTGTTATTATACCCGAATTCAATGTTTCAAACATGGTGAGACGAGAAAAGAGAAAAATCAATTCAAAAACTGTGCGAAGTATGTTAACATGGTCACATTACTCATTCCGACAACGGTTGAAACACAAAGCCGATGAGACTGGTATGAAAATGATCATACAAAATGAAGCCTATACCTCAAAAACATGTTCTGCATGTGGAAACATACAGAATATTGGAGGGAGAAAAGTTTACAAGTGCAAGGGATGCGATGTGATTATGGACAGGGATGCAAATGGAGCGCGGGGGATATTCCTTCGCGCGTTGCTTGATGGAGCCATATGTAGGAATTGGTAATCATGCTTAGCAAAGCTTAGTATAGATTATTAATTATGTATTACAATCCATCCGTTAATATTCGATTTCAATGATATAAATTACATGGTCTAAAAAAATCGAGAATAAAAGAGACAATTTATCCTGATATATTTTTATTCTTACGGTAATGATGAAAATCCGCTTTATGCAATAATTAATTATTTGTTTCGTCACTCGTATATGAATTCATAGAAAACGGATGTTTTAATAGTTTTATAAATATCATTTCGTGAATATTTTATTCAAAATATTTTTGACTCCCTCGCTAGTTGTACTGCGCGATCTACAACTTTCCTCAACTTCACTTGTAATCAACTTCCTTTGCTTAAATTTGTCGTGTTTCTTTGCATTATGTAAAATAAAAAAAATTAATATTTCAATCGTTAAATTCCTAACAATAATATTAATAAATAAATCACGTACATCTTTCTTATTATCACCATCTTCTGCAGACTTTTGCTTGATTTTCTAATTAAAAAACATCGTGTTAGCTTGAAAACGCATTGCATCAAAGCATTAATAATAATAATAATAATAATAAGGAGGAATCTTGCTTTATTATTTAATCGAGGTTCTTCCTCAACCTTTCTCTTCTTTTCTATGACCTATTTAAATTTGAAAAATTTAAGTTATTACTTTTCATAATATTTAAAAAATTCATTACCACCTACATCTGCTTCTGTAAAAGTTTCCAAATTAGCCATTTCAACTTCAGCAGCTTTACGTTTCTTTTCTTTCTTTTCTTCCATGCTCTGAATCATTTTCGCTTTCTCTACTTTCTTTACATATTCTTTATTTTCTCTTCGAGCTTGTGATATTTCAGCTTGTAATCTTTGTGTTCTCGCAGCCTTCTCATAAGCTTTATAAATTCGAAAATAAAAAATTAAATCAAAACAACTAAAGTAGATCAAAAAAAAGGTTTAAATGTTTACCAATTTGTTCTGTTAAATTATTCCATTTAAATTTTGCGAGGTATTTAATATTCCATAAATCATCATGATAATAATTCCGTTTATTTCCACCTAATATATTTATTATTTATTTTCATAATAATCTGGATTGATTAACTCATATCAATGGTTTTAGCAAATACCTATTGGTTGAGCATTCAAAGTTTTCGCGATTAATTTAGCAACCTTTTTATCTAAAAATTCAACCCATCCTTCGGTATATTTCTTCTTTTTATTACCACCATATTTTTTTCTTCTTGATCTCGCTTTAGGATCTAAAATTATATTAACAATGTTATAATCCCTTTTTCCTATTAGAACGATAAAAACCTTACTTACCCTCGGGTGCAAGGTAAACTCTCCCAATATTTCCATATTGTCCTAATAAATGTTTTATTTTGGAGGGCTTCATAAATGGTGGAACACATGATAAATAAATAATTCCTGTATTGTCTTGAGCTTTTTTAAACTCTTCTAATTTAGCAGGTGTTAAAGGTTTAACCACTTTCTGTTCTGCATTGATACTGCTTTCCGTCACTTTATCCTCCGAAAAACTTAACATTATTAAAATTTTTGCTTTCGTGATTAAAAAGGCAATTCAATTTTTATAAAAATAAGATGCGTGTAACATCACAGATCTACTAAATGTAAAAATAAAATCATTTCAATTTATAATAACGAAAATTTATGATCTAAATTCCCTAATTACTTTAAATAAAAGCATGGAATTTTTAAATTTTTATTAAAACATGTCAACAAGTCTCGCTTGTTGATCAACTATAAGTAATGTTTTATTTTAATGATCTAAGATTTAATATCTTTGTTTGTTAATTAATATGAAAGTGGTATATTTAAATATGAATAAGTAAATAAATATTGATTATATTTAGGAATAAAAGAACAAGACCTGATGAACGCTTACTTAGAACGTTCTTCCATTGTTCTAGAAACCTTTCGAATTGTATGATTGTTAGAGAAAATTACACTAATAAGATAAAGTCAATTAAAAGTTAAATTATTTAATATCTTATTTATCCTCTCCCCGGCCTATCCAAAAACGCGACAAAACAAAAAAAAAAAGTAGGAAAAAAAAAAAAAAAAATAGAAAAAAAAAAATAGTTAAGACGTGTGAACCTTTGAAATACGCTCAGTGAGTTCTTTTACTTGACGTTCGCTATTTGCCGATGGAGTTTCTTGATCTTTATGAATTTCCCGCGTCTCACTTTCTTGTACAGACTTCACTTCGATTAAATGTTTTTCAGGGGTTTGTATTTCTATTCGTGACTCAACTTTCGACTCTATAAGGACTTTTCTGTCTTCCAATCCTTTGACAGAAGGTTCCTAAATGATTTAAAAATAATAATTTTTATTTAATATAAATATCTAAAAATTAGGAATTTAATATTTTAAACTTATTTTTTCATCGCACGTGCCTCTGGTAATGTCGGGCAAAATTAAAAATGTGACATTTAACGTGTTGTGTGAAGAATAGATTTTTTTCAAAATTAAAAAGGGAGGGGGTGTGACACGGGTAACAAAAAGGAGGCGATGCATCTGCATCGCACACATGCGATGAATAAATTATTCCTTAAAAAATTATATAACAATAATAAAAAAAAAATCTTTCTTATGACTTTTTTTTACAAGGAGATTTTACCGTCTCTTCTTCATCAAGTTCTTCCTCCTCCTCTTCATCGGAGATTTCCATATCGTCTAACTCGCCTAATGCGTCCGCGTTACCATTTTCCTCCAAGGCAGATATTACATTTCTAATAGAGATATCTTTCGGGTTGACCTTGTTGCCATTCAATTCCAATGAATTTAGATTTTTAAGATGATTAGAAATAGTTGTCGCCAATATTTCCACAGCTTCTCTATCTAATTCATTATATTGAAGGTTGAGTTTTTCAAGTTTTTTGTTGTGACCTAATGAAAGAGCTTCCGCAAAAGTTATTCCTCCTTTTGTTGACAACAAGCAATCTCCAACATTTAAAACCTTCAAGTTTGGCCATTCGACGAGTGCTTTGGCAAAATTCACAGAACCCTTCTCTGTAAATGTATTGTCTTGAAGATCAAGAATTTCTAGATCTTTACATACTGCCAACCCTTTTGACAAGGTAATAATCCCGTCGGGACGGATACCATTCTGAGGTATACGAACTTCGGTCAATGTTCCGTGAGCGGCAATTGCATTAGCAAGGGCCTGGCTAGAACCATCTTCTAATCGGTTACGACCAGCAATTATTGTTCTTAGAGATGACGTGCGCCCTTCCGAGACATTTTTGTCAGCCGCAGCGAGTAGTGCCTTACCAATTAGAATCCCACCACGTACTCCAAGCCCATTATTATTAAGTTTCAAAACCCGCAACCTTCGATTTTTAGTAAGAAAATCAACCATTGGCTCAGCACCCGCGGGACCAAACGCATTATCGCTAAAATTAAGTTCTTCAAGCTGTTCTTTATCTTCAAGCGCGTCACAAATTGCTTTAACGGCACTTGGAATTTCTTCCCGAAGTCTACTTGTAAATATATCTGAAGCATTAACGATCTAATAATGTATTATAAAATTATTCATAAATTCCAAACAAATTAATTTGACGCGTTAAGAAAAACAGATTTATTTAGTTTTATGTTTGAAGTCCTTCCGGGAGGTTTAGATATATGCCTAACCTTAATTGTATTTTTTTTTTTAAGTGCTCCTGCTATAGCTTGCGCTGCTTCAACACCAAAAGTGTTTCCGCTCAGTATAACTTGTTCCAAATTTTCAATTTCCAATATTGAATTCACAAATTCCTGAACATCTTCCGCTGTGTCTAGTTTCAACCCTTTGCCTTCAATACTAAATACTTTTGAACTAGCGTTCACACTCATGTTGTTTTCAGACTGAACTTTTTTAATCGGCCGGGGAGAGAATATGTTGGGTTAATTTTTTTTTTTTTTTTTTTTGTTGATACTACTTGTATAATTCCGGTTTAAAGCAAACCACGTGCTGTTAATTGTAACTTTTATTATTGCCGTAGTTATCGATAAAATTTAAACTCCTTTAAGCTTACAATAATATCTCATTTATATTAAATAAATATCGCAAAATAGTATTTGTAGAATTAGTAAACAAACAATTATTTAAACAATCCAATATATTTATCATTCATTAAGGAGGGAAAAAAAAAATCTAACAAAATAATGAAAGCATTTCGCAAAACATTTATGCTTAAAAGTCCTCAGCAAAATAAGTGTCTTCGTAAATATATGATGTTAGAACAGTACGTTCAGCAAATTTCCTACCAGCCAATGCACGAAGTGCGATGCCCGCTTGGTCTATTGATTCATAACGCACAAAAATCTAAAAAAGATTTTGATAAATTAATGCTTATCCGAAGTATAAGAAAGTACTTAATCAACTTTAAATTTTACCTTTCCAACACCACTTGCTGATCCACCATGTCCCGGTCGTGGTATCTTCATATCCACTACATTTCCAAATTTGGAGCATTCCTCTCGAACGTCATCAAATATGTCTAAAGCAAATGTCAAAATTAATTTAAAAACGCGACGACGTAAAATAATTATTATATCAAGCAGATATAATATAAACCTTCATATTCATCATCTTCTACTAATTCGTCAGGAGTGACCATATTAAGTAATTGAAGAACTGTGGTTGGTTGCATTTCGCCGTTACCGGTAGGAATTAGCACCGAAGTAGGTAAAACGGTCGTAACTCCTGCATTTTTAGCGGAGCCTACACTTGCACGTTGCACTACAAGTTTACGATCACCAAGTTCCATGTTATTTAAACCTTGACATGCCAAATCAGTAACGGTCGGATCAACATATTCACAAAACGCAAAACCCTATCCAAAAAATAAATAAATAAATAAATGAGTGAATTTCGAATGTTGAACGAAATGTCCTAAAAACAAAAAAAAACCTTCGAAAATAACATGGTTACCTTAGATACACCTGTTAAACTATCTTTAACTAGATTGAACGCTCGAAGTTCACCAAAGGACTTTAATAGCTCCATAACTTGTTCATCGTTTAAATAAGTAGGTAATCCTCCGATAAAGATTTTATTGGGACTATCAGGAACGTTAGTAGAAACTACACCAGGGACATGAATTGGCGGTGGCTCAAGATTTTGTCCCGGAGGTGGTTGGTAATCCTTTGGACGCCTTATTTTTAATGATTGTCCTTGAAATGTAATTCCATCAAAAGCCATCGCAGCTGTTGCTTCTTCAGGAGCTCGAAACTATTATATTCGTTAATGCATAAATGAGTTATAATAAATTAAAATAATTAAAATAACTGAATATCTCTTTAGTATGATACATACTTCGACGAATGCATAGTTTTTATCATGATTTATTTGAACAGCGATCACAGGATTGCCTGGTGCTGTAGTAATATTTAATTGAACCATAGTTGAATTAAAGAAATCTGATAGACCATTCTTGATAATCAAAAAAAAAGGAACGAAAATTAGTAGACGAAAGAAATGCAAAATAATAATAGTAGTTAAAATTCCAATTTACCTCATCAATACCATATGGAATATTCCCAACGTAAAGACGTCTCGCTTGCCTTGCAAGTGAAGCAGTTTGTGCAACTGGACCTGCTGCTCCCTGACTAACTTTGGGACGAGGGGGAAGTTCATGAGTCATTCCCATCATCATAGCAGCACGTGAAGGATCCATTCCCGGTATTACTGGAGAAGTGGGTACTGCCGCTGGCCTTGTACTAGCAGGCTGTCCAGGGAGTGGGAAATGACCTATCGTGGAGTATGAAAATTTTAATAATAATATAAAAAACTACAACCGAATTTGATAAATAAATATATATATATATAAAATCATTAATCATAAAAATGATAACACAACCTGTCGCCTTTACTTGCTCGGCAGTCATTCCTTCATAACCTGGAGGCGGAACATCCCAATTGTTCAACTTCCTCCTCCTCCTAACGATGGGAGTTATCGATCGAGAACGCGAACGATGTCTCGGACTGTGACTACGACGCCTAGAACTAAAGCTTCGGCTTCGCCTTCTTGAACGTCGAGTTCTTCTTAATTCTCTCTCCTCTCTTTCTTCACGTTCACGTCGAAGTCTTTCTCGACTACGATCACGTTCGCGTTCACGATCTCGCTCTCTACGCCGTCGGACGCTTTCAGTATCGCGATCTCGATCTCTATCACGGTCTCTTTCTCTATCACGTTCTCTCTCCCTATCACGTTCTCTTTCCCTTTCCCGATCTTTCTCTCTATCCCTGTCTCTATCTCTTTCTCGGTCTCTGTCTCCTCTGTCTTTATCCTTGTCTCTGTCTCTTTCTCTGTCTCGATCTCTCTCTCTATCCCTATCTCTATCTCTATCCTTGTCTCTATCGCGTTTTCTTTCCCGCCGTTCATCATCTTCTTTGGATCGATTTCGATCATCACGAGACCGATCGCGATGATAGGAAATATGGTCGTCATGTGAACGATTGGCTGTAAATAGGTGGAGCAGATTTATACATAACAATAAAAAGAAAAGAAAAAATATTTTTATGATTTAAGTCTCATTAGTATGACCTAAAAAGAGAGTGTGAAGGTCCCAATGGCTCGAATGCCCGGCAAGATTTCATGCAAAAATATGCAACAAGGTCGATGCTAAGCTGTGCTGCTTAAATAAAGACAAGGATAAAAACAATTGCATTCTCAATGTATATGATTAGAAAGAAACAAAAACATATTTTGCCAATATTATCTCTGATTTTTTCTCTTGTTTGGAACTATCAAGGGAAAGAGAACCCACTACGCGTGTGATAATTAACCACAATAATAAAAAAAGAAAGAAAGGAAAAAGAGCAATAACGACATGACGTTAGTGACTATTTTCCCAAAATTGTCGAAATAAGAGCAAAAAGGGTAACAATAAGGTTTTCTTTAAAAAATAAAAAAGTATTTGAGTGTAATATTGCAGCTATTAAAGTATAATTGATCCTTCTAATACTTCTTATCTGGATAAAAATAACCTTCCCTCTCCATTTAAGCTCTATTATAAAATAATAATCCAAAAGGTTATGAACCTTTTTGATTTAATTTATTTTCTTACCCTTTGTATCACCGGCTGTTTCAGGAGTTCCTTCTGATTTTACAAAGACCTCCGGTTCGATTCTTGATAAAAAACTTGTAGCCAACTCTGAGACCCGATTTACAGAATCACCTGTAAAAAATTTCAAAAATTTCTAAGTAACGAAAAAAAAAATTTGCTGTTTTTAAGAGGTAAATCTTTAACCTTCAGGCATTTCTTGAGCTTGGTCCTGTGGCTCTTGTTTAATATAAACTTGAGAAGTGTAATCGTCAGTCTGCCTCCAGTAATCATTCCGATATTTGTCTTCTTGATCAATATCCATATTGCAAATGTTTTTGATCGAAATATCTCAATAGAGATGTTATTTTACTCGTACTTTTGCTGAAATATTCCATAAATACAGGATCGATTTATCACGTGATTTATATATTAACTGATCGAATCTCGGAGAAATTTTTTAAAAAAATTATTTTTGGTTACCTTTATTTCATAATATGGCTTTCAGACTTTTAAGGAATCCACGAGGTTTGTCAGGTAGTTAATAAGTCAAACTTTTATATAAAATTACCTCATAACTTCAATTTAGTAAAGAATCACTTTTATGAAAAGCGACCACTATAAGACCATTTCAAATCTCTCAGCGCAATGTTGCACTTCCCGGGTACTGTTTTAAATCCTTTTTTGTTCTTTTTTAAAATCATTTGTGTTTATAAAATTGTGATATGATTTTATCATCCATTGATACAATTCATTAAATAACATTCATTATGTGACATAGGATTCGAAGGTATATGACTTCCCCAAAAGACGGTATGCGTTACAAAAGAAAATAAAATGAATTGCATAATTTATTATTGGATATTTATATGATATGATATATTATTCAGAAAAAAAAGAGGTGGATCCTAAGCAAAAGGCTCTAAGCATTATCGATTCTCTTCCCGGAAATTCTTTGATCACAAAGACTGGCTACATTACTGTGGGAACAGGATTGTTAACTTTGGCTATCTCCAAAGAATTATATGTGCTCAGCGAAGACAGTTTATTGGTGCTTTCCTTTGCATGTATTTCAGCAGTTATTTATCGTGCAATTAAACAACCGGTTAATGAATGGGCTGATGAACACATGAGTGTATGTAATATATTTTTTCTTGACGAGAGCAAATGAACATAATGGTTAATGAGTGATATTCTACGTTAATATTAAGCGCGTGAATAATATCCTTCGTAAAGCTCGAGAGGATCATAAAAATGCTGTTCAGGAACGGATTGAAACTGTCGGACAGTTAGGAGACATTGTTGATGTTACAAAGGCATTATTTGCTATGTCTAAGGTACTTTTTGATGAAATATTTAATATATTATTGTGTTTTTCTTTAGTTTAATTCTTTAATAAAATTATACGCTAAAAGGAAACCGCTACGTTAGAAGCTGAGGCCTTCGAATTAAAGCAAAAGGCTGCAGCAACTGCTGAAGTCAAAGCTGTTTTGGATTCATGGGTTCGTTATGAGGCTTCATTACGTGAGCGAGAACAGAAAGCCCTATCGGATTATGTCATTGAGCATGTGAAGCAACAATTAAATGATCCTAGGATGGTTCGTTAGTTTACGTTTTATCAATCTTATAAAAATGTCATACAATTCAATAATGTAATTTTTTAAAAATTTCAATAGCAACAAGAAATTCTAAATGAATCAGTCCACGAAGTAGAAAGTATGTATATATACTAAGTTCAATGTATGTTTGTTTAACTAATAATCTAATCTAATTTTTTTATTTGACTTAAATAGAAGTCATGAGGGCTTAAAATAAACATTAGAACATAATTTAAAATTTTTATCGTTAAAAACTTGGTGTTCATTTGAATCCAATAAACATTTCAATACTTTTTTGTTCTTATATGTCTGGATAATCCTGGCAATAATATATCATCCAAATAAGCATTTTATGCGTGCGGTAATACTCAGCTATGTACAATTATTAATTCGGAATTATATAAAGATTCTAGACGTAACCGGATTAAATGACTTTTATATTTCCACCTAACGAAGGATCTCAAAGAATTTATTACTTGATCTGAATTTAAATATTAAATATGCCATCGGCAAATTCCTCAATTATTGACAAAGATATTAACTCTACTATATTGGGTTGATTGCTAGGAAAATCAGGTTCCGGGAATTTTTTAGCAAAATTGAGATTTTTATTGCATTTTAGTTTTTGATGTTATTAGATTAAAATGCATTAAGCTCTTAATTTTAGTCAAAAATTTCTCGGAACCTGATTTTCCTAGAAACACTCCCATATGCTTTTGATATGACATATAAAGTTTATCCTTTCCCAAGATCTTTTAACCCACAAACATTTACATCATTAAATCTAGCGTAATGAAGATTTCTCTTAACAGTTTCTCCAACATCACCACCAACCATCCAAGTATGCCATTATGATTATTGAATGGTTTATTTATTGTAACATCTAGTGGCTGATAAATGCTAGTTAATCCACTCAGAATCACTGCAAGATTAAAGCTACATTCATAAAACTTTCTTTTTATTGGTTCTTCTAAATGATCTTTAAATGAATTGTATACAAGCATTATCAGATTTTTTTGAGACCTGTTTTTCATTCTTATATCATTAAAATAATCTACATACTTTATCATAAAATCAGAGTCCATTTAGCTGTTTTTTTGAATCAAATAACAACATCAGGAGAAATTTGTTTTCCGTATGACATTTACTTTCTTTTGAATATATATATTAGAAGTTTAATTCCTTCTATAATAATGAATCAAATGGTATTGGTAAATAAATTTTGATTTTATAAAAAAGAAAAGCTTACTAGCAACACATATAAGTATACCTACCTGTAAACCATTTTTTTATTTCCTATTGTAAATATATAGACTTTTTTTCATCTTTTGAATTAATGATAAAATTATCAGCTATATTAAATCAAACAGATGTTTCATTTATATTAAAAATATTCTAAGATTATTTTAATTTTTAGATTAGTAACAAATTGGTGAAACTTTTTTAATAACTTTTTAGTTTGATTAGGAGTTTTTGAAATATTCTAGTTCATTATTACAATGCTAATCTATATTTTTTATAAAAGCGGTTAGGGCACTGACATTTATTACGTAATATTTTTAGGGGTGAGAGATCACAGGGATTTCTAAGAAGCGTCTTATGTTACACTCAGTAAATAATATCACGTGATTAGATTTGGCTTAGATTTACGATCTGATCATTTTATTTTATTCAAATATGTATTCAGAATATTTTTATTATATAGCTGTTTAATATATTATGAATAATATGATCAAATAAAAAAAATATGTATTCAACTATATACAACACGTGTTTATTCTCCTCTATCAGACACATATCCTCTTAATTTAAATGGAACGGTACCTGATCATTGTGAAGGTAAAAGAGAAAAATCATCAAGCGTCAGGTTTCTTGTTTTGGGTCGTCCTCGAGTAGTAGTGTGTGCTGTTTTCTTATGGTTCTTTAAGAAAGTAAGAATAGGAAAGAATTTTTAACAGGTTGGACAACAAAGACGAGAGTATAAATTTTTTTCAAGAGATAGACAATGAGAATCGTAGCCTGGGATTTTTATATGGTCATAATATTAAAGTAAATTAATAGAATTCGTGAAGTGTCCATCCTTAGCTTTTGTAACAGGTGGCAAGAAACCATTATAGCTTTCAAGAAATTCTACTACTTCTTTAGCTCTAGGTAGTCTGCAACAAGATGTATCTTTACATTTTTTGATATCAATGGAATATATACACAAATTGCAATGTCTTTCAATCTATGATCATGGAACAAAGCATTCAAAAGAGGCAAGTTCTTCATCCTTTTTATTTATATTTTTTTGTTTTTGTTTTTCTTGTTTTTTAATTCCTCGGCCTTCTCTTTTTCTGTACCTTCAAACTGTAAACTTTTGAATGAATTTGTAAATGCATTAATGTATTGAGTTTTGACTTGTTTCCCAAAAATTGAGTCACGACTTCAAATATCGCAAAGAGTCTCTCCAGCATATTGAAAATTTCGAGCAGCTAATTCAGGATTCATGACTTTGCTTTGCAAATCCAAATATTTGCCGAAGTGATCAACTGGCAACATGATTCCAACAAGTTTGCCAGATAATGTTGCCATACCCTTTTGACAGGATTATATTTAGATAGTCCTGAAGCATGTGTTCGCACGCTTAGATAATCTAAGTCAAACTTTTTAAAAAGCTGACAGTAAATCTTTATATTTTTCAAATGCCTTGGATTTTCATCCAACCCGCCATCTACTAATAATGTCCAAATTGTCAGATTTGTCTATCAGTTTTCAATGCTTCATCATATTGGAAATCTAAAGTAATATTTTTCAGATCTTGTATATGTGTAAGCGAGAAAGTACCAATAGGCTATTGGGAACGTACAAAAATCGCAAGTTATCCTGTTCAAAGTTCATCTTTAAGTTCATTTAGTTTTATTATTAAATACACTGAAGGAATTAATTTCTGCCCACTTCCTATAGGAAAATCATGATCTGCTACAGATATAGATTCATTGATCGATTGTATGGTGTGGAATGTTTGACCTACTGCAGGCACTCTGAGACCTACTTTCGCTTTATCGTCTTGGGAAATAATAACAGATTTATTAGCAAACATAGAAGCAAATTGTTTTGCATATTTAACAAATGCAAGATAATAGTGTCCATCAGGATGCTCTTGAGTATCTGTGCATAAAACTTCAGCTACAGTAATTCACGCTAGATGATGGTGAACCTTGCAGTAATCAAATTGGATTGGCGAGGTAAAAGATAATTTTTTAATGTTGTTTGTACCATATAAATATTATATCTTTCCTCTAAATTTTTACGTAAATTTTTGATGATACAAACTTTAACGACTTCTTTTCGCCTTTTTAAATTGGCTGACCCAAATTTGTCCGAGTCGTGGATCTGATTGTGTAGATCTGAATGCTCAAAAAGTAGAGACAGATAGCCAGGTTTATCATATTGAATTATCTCTTGATTCTCAGTGAGTTGTTTAAGTTTCTTTGCTTTACAACTTTGAACATATTTTGCATTTCTTTTTAATATGTTAATTTTATCCTTATTAGAACTTATTCTTGATTCAGCTGCTTCTATTTTTATACATGTATCATGCCAAAGTTGAGTATCAGTTGTGATGTTGTAGATTTGTTTTAATTCAGCAAGTTTTTCTTTGATTACTTTAATTTCCTCTGCTATCTTCTTTTGAGCTGTTGCATTTTTAGGAATTTCTAGTGAAGATTCAACTGGACTAATAATAGAGAGGGGAGAAATTGGTTTTATTGTAGGCTTAGGACGATTTGCTCTTATCATTGGTATGTTATATAGGTAAATTGAAGTAGTAAAATATTCTTGAATTATATTATCAATTTCTGCAACATTTTTGCTTTTGATATCTTTCCATTTAGTTGTTGCTTCACGACAAATAGTATCACGATTTGAAATATTATTTCCTATTTCTACCATAGTATTATATACATAAGCGTTAGTAAATTCTTGATATTTATTAGTTGGCAAATTATAAATTAATTTTTTATTAAATTTAGGACCAGTTAAGTAGGTTTGACGACTTATTTTTATCAAAAAATTTTAAAATAAAAATTAAACACGTTTTTGTAAAAGAACAAAATTATTTCTTTAATATAGAGCAAAAAAAAATGTGAAAGAACGCGAAATAGCAATATTATCTGTTATATTAGCTAATGCAAACCCTACAGTTAATATGTATTAAAATAGCAAAACCCTTGCAGTAAAATTTATTAAAAGATATGCCTTTGCAGTTAATATATATTAAAACAGCAATGCTTCACTATTAAAGATATGTTTTTATACAATCAGAATTTGATATAATGATCTTTATTATTAAAAAATAATTATTGAAATATTAAATCTATGGAATAAGTTTTATATAACAATTCTAATGATTTAAAGAAACTATTTAAGTGTAAATATCAAAGTTTGTTATCGCGTATAAGCATATGTTTTCTACATTTTTAATAATTTTATAGGTAAATTTATCCTAGACCCTGGGTTTAAAATACTTATCACATGATAGATCAATTGAACATTATTACGTGATTTGCCTTAATTATCTTAACTGAGGGTGAGGTCAAGCTTTATATTAAACTAATATTACATAATAAATGTCACTATCCTTAGCCAATGGTAAGATATTTTAAAATCTTTTGAAAAATCATTATATTTAATTTTTTTAAATTTTCAGCATTTTTATATTATTACATAAGTTATTACAAAATTTTACTTTTTATGTTTGATAATTCAATCATAAAGTTTCTTTCAATTTCAGAATAAAAGGCTCTTCGTTTAAAGCTAACCTCTACTTTTTCTTTTATTTCAATTATCCAATTTGAATTTGCTATTACTATATTATAATTAAGATTAAAGTGCTTTACTATATTAAAGTATTTATGATTTTTTGTATAGGTAATACAGTCAACTCTTGATATAGCGAACTCTTGATATAATGAATTTTTTGAACAAATATAATAAAAATACTCTTGTTATAGCGAATTGGCCAATCAAATCTCTTAAAATCTTCACTATAGCCTTATAGCGAAGTTGAGGTCTAGGACATAGAGTTCGTTATAACAAGAGTTGACTGTAACTTGTATTATTATTTGATAAAATACGAAATTTATTTACATTTATGATCTTATATTTAACAATCCTTTTCTTTTAAATTGTAAAAAATAAACATTTAATTTAATTAAATTTGTTTGTATTT